GGATATTGCCTCCACCGTATCCAAACACTCACAAGATACACATTTCATTGTGAAGCTGTTTCCTTTTTTCCGAGAGTCGGCATATGTGTAGCTGTTTCCTTTTTTTCTGAGAGTTGACGCAGACGTGTAGATTCTTAGCGATAATGGGAATTTTGTAGCTTGTATCAAAGGAAGTCTGTACTGCTGTATCCTCAATGACGGTAACATGTAGGAAGTTGGTGTGTCACATGCAAATGATTAGGGCACCCGTTAAGGCTTTTTTCTGTTTCAGTAGAGAGTCTTCAGTATCTGGTACTACTGTAGATGTTTCTCTGAGGTGGCTACTCTGTGGTGTTGAGGCTGACACGGTGTTCCTGATTTGCAGAAGTGGGTCATCCCAGTCAGAAAGAAGTAGAAATCGGCTTATTTGTTCAGCCATCTGTATTAGTAGCTGTGAAGCAAGATTGTCTCGAAATGTTTCACACTCATGATGTCTGGTGTGGTAATGGATGTTTCGGCTATGATGTCTTTTGGGGTTGTGCCTACTGGCTGATCATGTATCCTCTTGTGTACATGCCCACCTGTGGAAGGAGAGAATGGGTAGCCTTGCCATTTGCTAGCTCGTCATGCTTTATGGAAAACCTGTAGGCCTGCCTCAGTCATCTGGATCCATTCGCAGACCTTTCAGGAGACATGGATGGTGTGGAATCTTCTTTCTTTCTCAGCTCTGAGCCCACCGTAATAGATGTGCCTTTCGCCGTATGAGTTTCAGGTTTGTGCTGAAGTTTTGCTGATGTCTAGCTAAAGTGCTTGCAGACCTGCTCTAAGGTTTACAGCGCGATCTAGGGAAGGGTCAGTGTCAGCCTACAGAGTTTTAAAAGATGTAATGGCAGAAACTTACTGTCCATTTAAGTTACGTGGTAACTCGATGCTGCTGTGATTCTGCTGTTGTACTGGCCTGAGAGGTGCAGCACTTCTCAGTACGTCTTGAGCACTTTTCCATTTGCACACAATGGCCGGGGTTTCTTCCAGGGAGCTCACTCCACATTAATGAAATTTGACCTGCAGCAGGGAATGCTTCAAGCACCAGGTGAATAATTTCAGCTGCATGCACATTTAAAGATTCTTCAGGGAGACATCATCTGGCATTAACAAATGTTTGAAAATGGAATTGAAACTGCTTTCTCCTGAAAACATTCATTCATTTTTTACGGTCTCAGGGAAGGAAAGTCCCTATGCCAATGCATCCCCACTGAGACAGGTGAGTAAAATACAAAGATGAAGATTATGATTCTTTTCATCGAATAAATTCTTTTCAGTTTGTTCAACTAAAAGATTCATTCTAAATCGTTCACTGATCCAGTCACTTCTTATCCCTCCAGGATATTTTTTCATTGGGTGTTTCTTCTATGTTTTAAAAGATGTATTAAAATGTTAGAATTTTTTTATTTAAAATTTGAATATGTTATATATTATACTTATATTCCATCCATCCATCCATTCATTCATCTTCTATACCCGATGGTCTGAGGCTTGTTCCTCAGCCCTGCCCCTTGTCTCCCTAAGTTCTCTTCTCTCCCCTGATGACCAGCACATGCTCCTGGTCTTCTCTAGTGTTCTGAGTGTAGTCCATGTCCTGGTCTTCTCCTAATGTCTTTTTTTCCTGTTGTACTTCCCTGTTTGGCCAGCAGGTCATCCCATTATGTCCCTTGCGTTCCTTTAGCTGGAGTAAGTGACACACACCTTTCCCTCATCTAAACCTTGTTTTTCTTGTATATATGTGCTTGCCCATCCCCATGCCCCCTACATCAAAGAAATTAATGTAATTCTGACCAATAGTAGTATTTTAATAACGAACAACCTACACCCAACAAACCTACAGCAAGGTAAGTTAACATCGAAGCACGCCACATGCTACTGTCCAAATATCATGGAAGAGATAAGAACTCCCTCGGAGGTACTGTCAGTGACGAAAACAACAGCTCGACATCACAGCTTTTAAAAAAGCCTACATCTTTTAAAAAAGATGACACTGTGGATTAACAAGGCAAAAAGACATGGGCAGTGTGGCAGTACTCTACAATCCGACGCGCAACTGACTGGTGCTATGCACTGCAATCTCCGTCACAAGCACTGCAAACTTATTTCACCACTTGAAGCATTGCCACCCAGTATACAGAACGCAAGTACTTACAGTCACAAACATCAGCAATTAGAAGTGTTAGAAGTACTATCAGCATTTTCCAGTGTTATGCCCTGTGACAAAAAAAGTTTATTTTTGTATGATTCATTTATTAAAATTAGATTTCAGCTTGCAGTCCAGGGGTGCTGCTTGAGATTTTGGGACCCATAAAAGCACATCATACAGGGCCCCTAACCCAGAACATTCCAATTAGCTTAAAATATTAGGCCCCTATCAGTATGTGGCCCTTGGAACTCCCCCCCCCACACACTTTACAGCCCCCTTGTTGCAGTCCACTGAATTTATCACAATAGTTCATGTGTGAATCTGTTTAAGGACAATTCTAATAGAATTTTAAGCAAAAATAAAAATTCAGCCTTGAATTAATTAAATGACTTGACTTGTATTGTGATAATTATTAATATTGACTAAGGGCATAACTTTGATTTGAACACTGGGAGGTTGAAGTCTCTGCCCATTTAGGGGGAGACATGATTATTGGGGGGTTGTATTAGCCAGCTTCAATTATTGAGGGTTACAAATCTCTCCCCCCCCCATTAATCTATGCCCATGATATCCGCTGATATGAAAAAAAATGTTGTGATCAGATATTTTGGCATCACACAGCCCTAGCTATTAATATTACCCATTAGGCCGTAATCTAAGTCAGGTGATCACAGTTCCAACTGATCACAGTTCCATAGTTTCATAAATTCTCTGAATCTTTAAACCACTCAGGATGTTGTTCTTGTGCTCAGTGACCAGAGGCTCCTCTAACCAAGTTTCTGAAGATCAGTATATAAAGATGATTGAATTTTACAAATCAGGGGAAGAATATAAAATTATATCTAAATGCTACCTGCTTGTAATTTATACTTTTCGAAATGTCATAAAGAAATGTCAGCTAAGATGAACTGCTGAAGTCAATGCAAGCTTTGGAAGACTAGGAAAATCTTAATGGTTAGGGAAGCGCACTTGTAATTGAAAGATTGATGGTTCAAATCCCTGACCAGCAAGGTACTGGCCCCAAGCACTGCTCACCGGGCACTGAATTAGCTGCCCCCTGCTATGTCACAATGTCACATATGGGTTAAATGCAGAGGACACATTTCATTGTTGTGTGCTGTGGTGTTTCAACAATGACCACTGATCACCAAATTCTGATACAACTGCTTGAAGACTGGTCCGAATGTAAAGCAAAACTCCCACATTACTGCAAAGGACCTGCTGGAAGATTTATCTGACACAGGAGTAGGAGTGCATCAGTCCAGTGTGCTTGCACAAACATGGTCTGCATGGAACACTCATCAGACGGAAATCTTACCTATGATCTCATCACAAATAGCTACATCTGAAGTATGCAACACAACATTTATATAAGCCAGATCAGGTGCTGTGGTCTGATGCAATTAAAATGTAACCCTCTGGCTGCAATCACTAAAGGATTTTTTTTTTTTTAAAAAAAAGAAGCATTTGAGGAGAAGAACATCTTCTCAACTGGGGTAGATCTATTATGCTTTGGGGTTGTGCATAATGGTGCATTCAAATCAGAAATGCGTCAGGTTGAAGTTTTTTCAATCCACTTAAATAAAGATTCCCATTGTTGCTTTCTCCATACCATGGCTGATCAAGTTATAAGTGATGGTTTCAGAATGGAACCATCACCATGGGGGTGGTGGAAGGGAGTAAAGTCACATCTCTTTCCAGATGAATTAGGATGAATCTTTTGGGCCAGTAGTAGTTTTGTTTTTGACATTGTTGATGATGTGAAACAGCAGCTTTACATAATATATGTCAATGAAAATTATTGAAGTACTGTTTTCATTTTTCAAAACTACAATGTACCAACCCTGAGCAGAGCAAAAATCTGCCCGGACACAACAAAGTTTGGAAAGAATTAATTAAAATGTAGAATGCTGAGGCACATATGGCTGGCATGGACTCATTTTACAGCAATGAATATTTGTGGCAATTTCAGTAGAGCATTCCTGTACTAGAGAGTAATCAGGCAGTTATTGAGCAAGTCGAGCTTTGTGGTGAACTGAGCCAAATGAGCAGCTGAGCAAATGTATCTTGAATTCTTCTGGGAGAAAGCTGCAGCTATTCCTACAGTATCTGTCCACAAATGTAAATTAAGTTTTTTCTAGGGTTGGCTAATTACTATCAATGGCTAATACCTGCTTTTTCCATCCTGAATTCCAGGGTTGGGGCCATTCCGGAATGCATTCATCAATTCCAATCCAAATCAGAAAATGGAACTGGAGTTGGAATTTAAATCTCCCTGAAATTCAAATTCAATTCCAATTCTGTTTCCTATAGTTTTTTTCAAATCCCAACTCCAGTTCCATTTCCTGATTGCCATAAATGTAGTGCTCTCTGGTGGATTGTTATTTATACCAGCAGTTTACTTTGCAAACTAGTGCATTACACAAGGTACTCACATGTTACGATTGGGTGGGAAAAACCTGCTGCTGAACATCAGCTGCAAGCCCTTATCCTGAGAAACCACTGAAAAGAGATACCCAGTCATCAAATGGTCATCAAATAACCCTTTGTTACCTCCTGAGTCTGACTTCCGTAGGTGGGGGCAGGAGTTTTTTTTCCAAGCTTTTGTTCAGCAGAGGTGGGGTGTGATAAGGGAGCCGTATCAACTGAGTTTGAGAGCAGTTTTGTTTTGCCCCAATAAACTGAATCTGGCTATTATTCCTGACTCAAGACTCGTAACTGCAACACGCTTATTTTCCCTTTCTCCCCCCGACAAACTGCAATAAGTTCTGGAATAAGATTCAAAATATAAATCAAAGTGGGATTGTTTTCCAATGCAAGAGTCACACTGAAGGATTTTCCAAATATAAAATAACTTTATTTTATACAATCATTCTAAATAGACAAAAAAATATATAAGATTTCTGTACACTGGTATTTACATAAGTTTACAGACACATTCACTATGTGCAGCTGGTCTTCTCCACTGGCTCGCTGTCCAAAAATGACCATTTGGTGGTTCTATGTCTGAAAGACATAAACAAAGACTTAAATGAAAGCTACTCCAGGACAGATATGTCAGGAAAACTCTGAATAACCTGAAAAACAACAACCACAAATTAGTCTTAAAGGCCAAACCACTTTATTTAACACAGTACCATATTATTTCTAAAATGCATCGTGCGGCTCAGTGGGCTAAGCCTCTGTGCCTGTGATCAGAAGGTTGTCAGTTTGAGACCAGACTCGGCACATCTGTGGGTCCTTGAGCAAGGCCCTTAACCCCCAGCTCCCTGTGAAGTGGCTGCTCTTTGCAGCCAGCTTGCTCTCACCTACAGGGAGCAAGATGGGGGAGGTGAAAAGAGAATTTCACCATGGGCATCTATGAAGTATCCATTATTATTATAAATGAAATGTAAAAATACTAACATTTTTAAATAGAATATCAATAAAATTTGTTCCAACAGCAAGATCTAATTATCCAAAGACAAAGGGCAATATGAGATAAAATAGCTATTAAATATTAAAAAATAGCTATTAAATAAATAGCTATTAAATAAACACTGAGAGGCACATGGTAACTTGGAAAGAATTATGCAACCTAGCAACATCAGAAAACAAGTCTTAAAAAGTGGTTGTTACGACAGACACTACATACAGGAGAAACAGAGCTGTTGAGGTATATTTAAATTTGATTGGTGTATAGTTTCACCCTGAAACCAAAGGAGTTGCCGGGCTGCTTAAAAGGCCTCTCCCCAAGATCCTGGTTATATCATTCCATCCTGTATTGTAAATCCCAAGGAAGTGCTCTGTTGGTAATTACACCATATATGCAAAACATTTACTTATATATGCATTTCACATATTCATCATTATCAGTAAGGCAATTATTTTTTTTTAGATGAGGTTCTTTAATATGCTACTTTTGTTGGTTTATGGTAAAACATGGTGTATTTCTACTGGGTGGTTAACTGGTTTTACCTGTATGTTGTTTCTTAACTATGTCAATATGTTGAACTGGCCATTGGGAACTTTTTTATAATGGAGAATCTTGTTTTGGGCTCAGGTCACCTAGTTTCCATGACAATCACTATTGACATAGAAATATAGCCCACAATGGCTGGAAAAAAGTGACCTCCCTCTATAAAAAGAATGGCAATTAGTTGAAAGAATAGGTGTGGTCAGCTTTCCCCTTACGAAAATATCATGCAGCATAACACTGTTGACCTATGGTGGTGGCTCGAAACCATGTGATGTTACTTTTGTGTTCTGCAGTGGAAAGCAAGCACTGATCAGAAGTTATATACAGCGTTGCCAAAGAGCAGCACAATCAAGTGCACTACGTGAAAAGTTTCCTATGGCATCACAACTAACACACAAATATCATTCAGGACCTCAAAATGAACCTAACAGTAGGAAAAAATAAATATTACATTTCACCCTTCCGATCTTTCATGAGTCTTATGAAATGTTAATAGATTTCCATCATGTTTCCCTAATATGGAATATACGACATTAGTTCTCAAAAGTTTTGCCAACATTAGTAAGACGATTTATGGCCGTCTGGCCATCAATCTTCCAATATTAATATAGGGTCCAGGGATTGTATCTATCCCAAGGAGCACAGGGTACAAGGCAGGGGGACACAAACAACCTGCTTTCATGCACACATGCACAGACTATGGGCAATTTATTGATTTACCTAACTGCATGTCTTTGGACTGAAAGGGGAACCTGAACCAGAGTAAAGCCACACAACAAGAGAAGAGACAAACCCCACATAGAAAGCAGGGGGAGCAGTCTATCTCCAAACCAGGGAAGTGGAAGGTAACACAATGTTACCCACGGTACCACCATGTTACTCAGAAAATATTTGTATTTTGCTTAATATGTAGATTTGCCTCATTAAAATGCATATAACATAAATGGTTGCCACAGTAACGGATACCCTAAAATGTAACTGAATATATCACCTAACAGAACCAGCTGGGGGCAAATTTTTAAGTGCCACAAGACTGATGTCATGTTCCCATCTAAGTGACTCCAAATATTTTTTTTCAAGCCGAACTGGATCATGAACCGAAACATGACGTCATTTAAAATTACTGTTATGGCTGAACAGAAACTCCACGCTTCTGCATATCTAATGCAGGATAATTAATATTCCCAACATTACTACGTTTTATTTAAATCTTCTATGAGGTTAGTTTTAATCACTGTTTGACTGCATAATAAAATCCCCCAGAAAGTTAAAATTCGGAGGAATGAGGTTGAGATCACAGCAGTCCCGGTACCGATCTGCTATGCTCCTGATCCCATGCAGTTTCGTTTGATGAAGCAGACAACAGAAATCATCATTATACTACAGAAAATCCAGCGATCCTTAATTAGTTGAAAATATGTAATATGTGGTTACTTCAAATAACAAACACTTACGGTTAATCCCATGAACTGTGAATAATACTTACTTTTGTGTCAGAGAAATTTCTCCACTTTATCCTCGGCAGAATTGTTTAACAGCGCTGCGGAGTTTTTCAGGACCCCCAGCTCCACCGTTTTGTCACTCGGCGCGATGTCACTTTTACTGTCATAACCTTCATTATCATACCCGGAGCTACTGGCCGTTTCCCATACAATCCGGGACGGAACGTGCACCGGCACTGGCGTGCTCATAGGCTCCTTGCCACCGATACACTTATCCCTGCCTTCCAGCGTCTTCAGCCCGCTTTTGGAGAGCCTCTCGGAAAACTTCCTCGCCCACTGCGCAAAGTTGTCCAGCGTGCTCCTGTCCGGCTCGTCAGCGGCCACCTCCACGTTGCCCGTGTACCACATTATCCACCAGATCAGACTCAGGAAAACGACGAGGGCGCCGGTGAAAATGAGAAAGTCCCCGTAAAACACGCCGTTCAGACGCAAATTCGCAAAAATGCCAATTAGAAGCACGACTAATCCGACAACGTCGAAACAGATTGCGAGGCAGAATAAGAGCACGCACCTCCCGATACATCTAACGGCCATCCTGCAGCAGGCGATTGCTCGGAAATAACGGAAGGAGCAATGAGTTTAACCTGTTTGTCTGACCATGCATTCCTCTTTACTAGGAGGAAAAAAGCACCTGTCTTGAGAATCACCTTCCTCTGACGTAGGTGTCAATTTAAATATTTAAAGAGCCGAGCCCTTTATCCACACGCCTACTAACGAGTAGCACTACTTGCCACAGCAGGCTTTGATATGTGAAAAGTACCAGTTGATGTTATATTGTACTATACTGCAGTTAATTAATTTTACGTTTTCCTGCACTTGGAATCAATTTATTATAATACAGATACAATGATCTGCCAACAATCACGTCTCTGCAAAGTACTAGAAATTATGTAACACGTATAATGATTTAATACATATTATTTTACTTTTGAACTTTAATTTAGTAGCGAAGCAGAGCAGCTTCTGCTCTATCTATTTTGGTTTTGAAATTGACAAAAATTATTTTGTTTTAAAACGTATAACTAAGCATTATTAGCAAATATTACATTATAAGAAAATCCATATGTTTACATTGTCGAGAAATGTCAACTATAAAAACATTGCCTATATGATATTCCAATTAAAACATGTAGTTAATATTAAAATGTATAGTATTCAATTGTACATACACAGATATGTCAATAGATTACAAATTCAGTTTCAATTATATTTAGCATTGTCGGAAAAGTTTCTTCAATTCACCTTTCAGTACTCCTAACTCCTCTAAGTGTTAATAATAATAATAATAATAATAGCCACATATGCATAGTTATTGTTTTATTGCCTTTACAACTAAAAAGAAATAAATGTAAAACTATAATTTTAGATTTCTTTGGGAAAACAGAAGCCTAGGCAGAGGAAGCAGCGGGCTGTGAGCTCAGGGTGTTGAGATTCGGTAAGACCAATACATTTTAATGAAGTTCTTTTGTATCATCAGAAACTATCAAAAGCTAACAACAAGATAACATGAAACATAAGCTTGTTTTTTTTTTCCTTTTGCTTTAGGCACTGCCACGCTGCCCTGCAGTACACTGACACTGCAGTACCATCAACAGCCAGAGGAGGTGTTGAAGCAGCCACGGCACCCCTACTTCCAGCGGTACTTAGCCAGTCTGCGCCTGTCAGCAGCGGAGGAAGCGGCAGGCAGAGGGGCGTTCGACCTGGGCGCACCGACAGGGGGGCGCACTGCACAAATCACCATGGGACCTCCACCACCGTTCGGCACCGGAGTCCCTGTTCATAACAGTGAAGCACGCAAAATTTGCAATAATTTACCGACCACCACCTCGGTCGGCAAATTCTACCGAGAGGGACCCTCCCCGTGCTCCCCCTTCCCCCCCACTCTCGTTGCGTGAGACCCCTCCTCCATCCATTGCTCCAGTGCTTAATTTCGTCATGGCTCCTGGAACATTTCGTGTATTTACATAACATTTTGCCTTAAGTCAACTGGTTTTTGCATTTTGTGCAAAAACTTTTGTTTAATGTTAAACTTACTTCTGCTTCCAACCTTGGCGTGTGTGAGCTTGTGGGGTTTTTTTAAGAGAAAATTGGGCAAAACAGATTATATTTTGCATTATTTAGAAGAATACTGCTTAGACATTAAGGCTGGTACAACCAGTACCGGACCAAGCCGATCTAATGCCCTAGTCATCATCCAAGGCAAAGTCAAACTGGCTGGCAAATTAGCGTCTGCTCAGAAGTTGGTGGCACAGGTGGCCACTTATGTCACCTGAAGGACTGACCAGCGTTGGGTACAACATACAACTCGGGGTTAGTACAGAGAGCCATGGCCATGGTCTGGTACACTGTAAAATATATTAAATATATACAGCCAAACATATTTTCTGTAATTGTAAATTTCATTAATGGAATGTATTCCACCACTTTGGATTACAAATAAAAGGTTCCCATTGTTCTCAACACAGAATCAAACTGAACATTAATCCAGCATTATTAAAACCAGGAAAGAATGGAAGGGCAAAAATAGTTGCTTCAGGAACAAGAAAAAAAGTAAATTCGTTGTAGTTACTTTTAATACCTTTGCATACGCTCAGTAAATTTAACAGGGAAATCAGCATGAATCTTTATGAGGATGGGTTTATCTTAAAACATTTTAAGAAAATACATTCAGCAGATATTTACATACAGAGATCTAGCAACTGGTTGGCTGTATATGATTCTACTTTTATTTTGAGCCCAAAGTTTGCATTGTAAGCTGAACCTATACTTTATTGTGATGTTACAAGGATTATGCAGTGGATGTCACGTGATTTTACTGAGAACACACAAATTTTACATTCCCAAGCAATGTTTTACTTTTATATTGAACCAGGAGTTTAAAATTAATTTGGAAACTATTTCATTGTAACACTATTTCAATGTCATATATAATTCAAAGAAAGAGTTCGATTCTTACATTCCAAAGTACTATTTTTAAATTAGCAGTTGGGAATATATGCTTAAAGTACCTCGTTATGCCATTACGGGGAATGATACATAATTTAATGGAAAAACTCAAATCACACATTTACCAGTAGTAGTTAGACTTTTATGTTGAATGTGTTTTGAATGCATTGATACATTGAAAGTACTTCATTGTGATATTTTAGCATTCTACTGTGAATGTAAATAGTTTTTACGTAAGTGCTAATGAAATGTCCTGTAGAATTATTTCATTATCAAATCACAAGGATTCTGTGATAAATTTCTGTTGTTTAATTGAGCAACTGAAGTGTTAGACAATATCTGTTGTAAATTCATTTGGAAACTTTAATTGCATCACTTGTCATTTTGATTGTCAGGTTTAAAAGAATTAGCCCCCTTAATACGGAAAGTTTAGCATGAAAATCAGAATTTAGTAATCATAAACTACCAAAGTAAGTACTATGAAATATACTGTATTGTAATGAAAAGTAATGATAACAATATATTTCATAGTGATACTTGGTGTGACAGTGTCTGGATGTCTTTGAAATTGTGCATAAATCCTGTGTAAATATATGGCATATACTGAAATGTGGTAGCCACATAACTGTAATTCAGTTATAAATACATAATACAAAGCACATTTACTGTTTCACACATACATAAAGTTTTTATCCTGAATTTGAAAGCCAAAACTAGTAATTTGCCTCAAAATTTTTGTAACGTGCTTTACAGTATAGATTGACAAATCTTGGTGGGTATTACTGTCCTCTGAAGTAATATATGTGGATATAGTCATAATTTAGTCTATTTGACTGAAATGATATCTTGTGCAATATTAAGGTAACTTTGGTCAAATAAATTGTGCAATAAAATACAGGGTGTGGTTCATATGGTTTGCATTGTATTATACTACAACAGGTACCTTGCACAGTAAATGCATACAGAGACCTCCACGTGAACAGATATTAGGTGTACAGTTAATAGTGTTGATTTATGTCCAGATGCATGAATGCGGCCAGAGAGTGGCTGCCAGGCATTTGTCAAATTAAAGCTTTGCTATAACACGTCACCCAGCTGTGCCCAGTTAGATGCAGACTCAATATTGACCTCTGGTGCCTATTTGCTGTTATTACAGATTCGACACTTGCAGCATGTAACAGAAATCACTCTTTGACTTTTCACTGTGATGCTGCCCTAAAACTCTGCTGGTATTTCCAAAACAACTTATTCGTCTTCACTAAAGCTCAGGTGATAATTTATTATGGTATACTTTGCCAAGTCTGGACATTATTAGCAGCAATTTGATTTGTTTAACTTTTCTGAGATCTGAGAGATTAGGAGTTGCCCATACCACCTCTTCAGAATTCAATCCTTAAATATCCAGTTTGAAACCCTTTATGCGTGGTGTACTGGTTTTTTTGTGTACTGTTTTTTTTGGTTTTTTTGTTGCACCTGGTATCTCCATGCGATCTTGCGTACCTAAATTTACTGCCTTCCCTATTACCTTTCCAGTGCCTTTCCCCTTGTGAACTGTTCAGCGGCTCTGTACTGTGTTCTCAAAGCTTTATTTTTCTGTGCCCAGTGACCCCAACAGCTCCCTCAGCAGTTTACCTGCAGTGTTCACCTTGCAATCCACTTCACTGCTGCTGCCACACTGGCTTGAACCCTAATAGCTGAGCCAGACACATTGTTCCAAGGGCCACATCCAGGTGTTGACTGAAATTCAGCTGCTTGTTTGTGCACCTGAAACTTCTCAGTTTCTATAGAAGACTCGCAATACAGTAATTAACATGATAATGGCTTCTTGCATCTTCTAACAGCTTATCCCGATCGGGGTTACGAAGCCACACCAGGTGCCTCTTTCAGGCAACGTAGGGTTAGAACAGGATTCCATGCCATTGAAGGCACCGAGATCATAATAGTTCCATTCATTAAAATTAGTTTTTATTTTAATATGATTTTAAAGGTTTGTTTAATTTTCATTTCAGTTTACTGTAGTTTTTAACCATTTGTATTTCAGTTTTTATTTTTACATAGCTTCATAATTTAGTTTTATTTTAGGCTAATTTTAGAAGCGCTTGAAAGATATTGTGGACCGGGTGGGGGTGCTGATTGGCGATCAATCACGTGGCCTGAGTTACATTGTGTTTTGCACCGAATGCCAGTTGGGTACCCCAGCCTGCCCTGGAGCACAAATACAGTATAACAAATTCTGCTTGTCATGCCCAGTTGTTGAGTAGAAAAATATTTCAAAGGGAGATTGTTGGGTTAAATGTTTGAAGGGGTGAGCTTGCAGATACATATTTTGTGGTTTACCCTTTACAGATAGGTGCATATTAACTCTTATGATCGCTGGCGATGAAATTTGCTGACTTTACTGGTGTAGACTAGTGAAATGACCTTACATTGTTTTTTATTCTGTGGAAAACGAATGACCGATCTGCCAGCCAGATGTAATAAGGAATTACAAATATTTTGTGGCCAGGTAATTTGTGAATTTTTCTAAGTGCAGATGATGTGTTTTTAGGTCTAGTGGTGTTAATTTTGAATTATTGAAACAAACGTTAAATATTGGCAAAGACTGACACAATGGACTGATGCCAATATCTTAATTTTTAACCAATACTGATATTGTTTAACTTGCATATTGTGCATCCCTAAGTTTTTATTACTTTCAGAAGTATTGCCCGTCCCTAATCTAATCTCTTTGCCAGAAACACGGAATAACCTTGTTTATGTAGTTTTATCTATTTGAGATGCTTATATAATAGGCGTCTCACTGTAGATTACAGATGCTCCTCTACTTACGAATGAGATACGTTCCGAACGGGCATTCATAACTTAAAATGTTCGTAAATCGTTATTCAACATCATTTTAAGGGTACACGCAAGAACAAAGAACTAGTATGCTGGTAGTACGCACGCTACGCTGCTGTGCGGTGGGATTAGCGGCCAGGAGTCGTACTAGGCAGAATTGGCACACAAAAAAAAATGATGTTGCGGACAGGAATCGGGAACCCAATGAACACAATTTGGACTTACTCCTCTCGTTTTTACCTGCCCCACCTGTCTCTGTTTTCACCTCATGTGGACCTTTTGTTCCTTGTGCACATTATGGCGGGGCATGATGGAAGCCACAATGCAAGTTGCGGCTCATAAAAGCAAGGGACTTTAATGATGCTGAACTCAAAAAAACAAGAAACAAAAGGAACCACTGGGGTTCTAAACACAAGTAGGTAGAAAATGACAACTAACTAGACAATCACTAACACTTAACACATTTGGGGAAACACAGGCAAGTAAGACATACAAGAACCAAACAGGGCGTAAACACAAGAACACATACAAGGAACAGAATAAGGCCGGGTATTTATATACACATGAGATGTGGGCTAGACAAGGGACAGATGTGGACCATAACCAATTAACAAGACACAGGTGAGGGTAATGAACAACACTACAGATTCAAAGTCTAGGAGAGATGGGAAACATGTAAAACAGAACATGACTAAATCAAACACAGGCAGGGTAAATTAGGAGCAAAAGGTGTAAAGAAAGACCAAAAACTGAAATGTATTAACACAAGGACAGGAAAGGGATTAATCCTAGCAGTGTAAGAGGGAAGTCCAGGGCAGGCCGCCTCTCCAGTCCCCAGCTCAGAGGAGCCTGCATCTCCAGTCCCCAGTGCAGGGCAGGCCGCCTCTCCAGTCCCCAGCTCAGAGGAGCCTGCCTCTCCAGTCCCCATTCCAGAGGAGGCCACCCCTCCAGTCCCCAGCTTAGAGGAGGCCGCCTTTCCAGTCCCCAGTGCAGGGGAGGTCGCCTCTCCAGTCCCCAGTCCAGAAGTGGCCACCCCTCCAGTCCCCAGCTTAGAGGAGGCCTCCTCTCCAGTCCCCAGTCCATAAGACGCCGCCTCTCCAGTCCCCAGTCCAGAGGAGGCCACCCCTTCAGTCCCCAGTCCATAAGACGCCGCCTCTCCAGTCCCCAGTCCAGAGGAGGCCACCCCTTCAGTCCCCAGTCCAGAGGAAGTTGTGTGCTCAGCCTGTTCCAGGCCCTGCTGCTGCCTTGCCAATGCCAACTCCCCAGCTGTTGCCTCGCCGGTGCCCGCCTTGTGAGTTGCCTCGCTGTTTCCCGCCTTGTGAGTTGCCTCGCCAGTGCCTACCTAGCCTGCTGGATTCCAGTTCTCTGGCAGCATCTGTGGAGAGTGTTCCAGAGGAGGCCCTGCAAGAGGACCTGGAATGGGATCCTGTTGGCATTTCGCTGGGTCCCACCCTGCTGGTCCTTGCTCTATTCTTGTGCTAATGATCGCCCAGCTGCAGGTTCTGTTCCCAGTCTCCCATCTCCCAGTCCACAAAGGAGGGAAAAGAGGGGAGAAAAACAAAAACTTCAGTGGGACCAAAACAGATACTCCCTCTTGTTCGGTTTTACCTCATTAGGGGATTCCTTCTGTAATACTTTAATGAGTATATATATATAAGATTATTATTAACTATTAATATATACATATATGTATATAAAAATCACAATATTTGGCACATTGTACAAAAAAGATTATAAACAAAAGGAAAATAAAACATCCATCTTTCCTATTTATCCAATAAACGGTGATGCTAAGTCTGGAGCCTATAATTAGATAGGATGCCACAATAACCTCTTAGCAAGGGCTGTCATGGTGGGCTGAAAGCATCAGTGTTTACCCTGGATAGGATGCTAGAGTATAAAACTAATTATATGATATATTTTACAGTTACATTTCTTTCCAAAATTTTTTATATGACTTGCTGTACAAAATATTTTAATGGGTAGAATGTTCTACTTTTTTCATTTCTATGATATTGCATTGAAGTTTTTTACTCCAACCACACGGGGGAGCCACATCCCATAAAATGTGTTCCTACAAAGCTGGTGATAATAACTTGGAGGGTAAAACTCTGACCTGGGTGGGCAAAATTAAAATTACATTATGAATATTGTCGGGAATAATTGTTTCCCTCGGGACCAATAATAACGCTGTTTCAGCTCAGACTTAGGTTCAGAAAGCCTTTATTGGAGCAGCATTTCCCTAGCTAAGAGCTGAGGTTTGGGACTGTTCATGGTGCAGTGTTTGAGGGCAAACAGATGGGGAGACTCAGAGGGTGTGTTAATAACCCAGACATTCAGCATTGTAATTATCTTTCCCCTCATACTGCAACAAAATGTTATTTATTTCCCTCACAATAACCCTCATCCCTAGGTTCGATATTCAGTGTTGCCATGCGAACAAGGGCAAAACTTTAAAGGGTTTTTAAGCCAGTTGGAACACAGACTTCTAGTAACGACTGACAAAATTAATTCAAAGGTTCTGCTACTTATGTTATTTAACACCTACACACTTGATGTACCTTGGCAGCAGCTGTACTATCTTGTAAGCTTCCTGCTGTGAGATCTGAGGAGATGTTACCTCTGGCCCAGACTAAAGACAGTGACTGCAGTTCTGGTGTCATACTCACATACAAATACAAGATACAACAAACCAAATTGTTTAACCTGGGATCAAAAAGTAGTTCCACTGTGGGACCAGGTAGGATATATCTTGTAAAATCCACTACTCAGTCATTCTTTGAGCCTGTCTCTCACCGCAAAGATGAGACAAGACGTGTAGGGGTACCTTCCGTAGACATTTGATCACAGACAAACTTTGTCTGAAATTTGTAAAACTGTTTCCCAAATATTTAAAATGCTGCTACTAATACAAGCTTTTTTTTCCCCTTTTACACATTCATTTTTCCCCTAGGTCTCCTTTTGTCCTTCTTCCTTTTTTAATAATATGAGGTCATGGGTTAGCCTCTAGAGGGGCACTTCACAGAAGTAAAAATGGTAAAGTAAAAACATGTTTCCCATTGTGGTTCTACAGGGTATATCAGTGCCGTCTCTGCTGGATGAAAAAAATGCACAGTATATAGTGCATCTGTGTTTTCGAAATGAAAGAACATAACACAAATGTGAAAATGTTCATGAAAAATACATGCATGCTCATTTGGTATGACTTGTTATAATCCTTTCATATATGTGGGGAGCCAGAATGTGTGGTAGACTGAGAAGCTGATTGGCCGTGGAAGTGACAAGAAAAATGGCAGATTAATTAAACACAGTTGTTTTGTAACCAGAACACAGTTACTCAGTTACACTGCTCTGTCATACTGTTTCATCAGTATCTGTCAGAATTCTTTTTTTGCGTAAAATGATGTAGGTGAGACACAGAAAAGACAAAAGACATTTGCCTTTTAAACAACTTTTAAATTTTGCCAAAGATACAGCAAACCGACATTTATTTAAGTAAATACAAATTCTTTGGAGTATGCTGTTCAGTTAAATTCTGTAGTTATTGAACTAAGGAAGGTAAGAAGTAAGAATTGATTACTTTGTATCGTCTCATACTTAGTGAAGGTTTCTTTTAGATAGGGCCGATATTAAGAGGTACATTTTAAAACACCGACTGGCTATCAGACGTAACTAAGTTAAATATGACGCCATTATATATAGTTATATATAATAGGAATGGCTGAGGTACCCTTGGCGAGAGGTTTGCAAACTGAAGTGCTGTTGTTCTAGTCATCAAACAAGATGTCAGTAGCTTATTGGAAGTATCCTCTAATGTTAAGTGGTCATCACTTGACAATGATCTCATCAAAGCATATAAACAACCTCTGTTTTCTGTGGCCATTTGTCCTACTCGGGATCTCAGGGGGCTGGAGCATATGGGCACAAGTCAGGGAACAACTCAGGATGGGGCACCAACCCATCTTAGAGCACCAACCCATCATAGAGCACACGCACACACACCTACTGGCAAGATGGTAACTCCAATCCACCTTAGCATGTTCTTGGACTGTGAGGAGAAACCTGAGTACCCGGAGAAAATCCTACAGTAACATGGGGAGAACATGCAAACTCCACACACAGAACCATGGTGGAGCCTCAAACTCAGGCCCCAGAGGTGTGAAGCAATAGTGCTTAAATGATGCACTGACATGCCAAGCTGATGTTAATGACAATACAACCAAATAAAAGCCAAAAATGACCTACTTTAAATATCAACGGTGTACAAACAAAGCTATACATAGTTAGATGCTGCTATATTTTCTTTCTTAATTATTACACTTGCCTATTTTATACCCCAGTATGCCAATTCAAGTTCATTTAAGAGTCAAGTCTTGGATATTCCAGTCCAGGAAGACCTACAAAGACCTAAACAGCACAGGATAAGATGTGCACTGACAGTTACAAGTGATAAGATTGGGTGGTCATTTTGTGTACTAGTACATGGACCGGCGGAGGGTGATATGTAGGCAGTGAAGCATGGGCAAGAGATATTGTGATGCACTGGTGCATGGACAGTAGGACAGCAAGATACAGACAGTGATGTTCAAACGTTTAGGGTAATCTTCAGCATTGGCAGTAAGACAGTGTCATATAGGCAGTGATGCATGAGCTGCAAGGGCATTGTGATCCATGAGTTGTCAGCCAGTGACGCAAAGCCAGTAGGAGTTGTCTTCCACATGAAAAGTGGATTAGGAACAAATAGCCTCTTGAGACACTCTGCAGAGATAGTCCGCCACTTGCAGTTTGCACTGTAACCTCCCACTTCTGCAAACAATACTTTGTTTCCCACTTTCCCTCTCACACACTTACTCATAATTAAAGAACGCTTTTCATGAATCACACAATATAAAACAGGGTGATTTTCACCAAATATTGTCACCTTTATATGCCAGCTCGCACTACAGTCTGTCAGAATTGTACATTATTCCTCTTTTATTGTCCACATTTTGCTCAATTCAATATGAGCTCATTACTCTCTTTTTGGGATTATAGTTGCTTGCAGGAGAGATGCACCACATACAATGACAGAAAAACTACCTGGGAAGGTTGTCAGCTGTTGATGCAAATAGATCCCTTGTGGCCTTTTTTGGACTCTTTTATCAGCTACTCAGATGTTACCCTGTATCAGCCTTTTCATTTCCCCCTCCTCCAACAGGGACGACTTAAGAGCCATCTGCAGAAAGTGCTTCGTCAGTGCAAAATAAATCAAAATTTCAATGCGCTCCTCGGTAGCATAGCATGAAGAAAAGGGCTTTTAGGAATTGCAAATGCTACCTAAAAGAAACAAAGCGCAAGTTGCTTTTCCAGACCCAGAGCCTATTAGCATGCAGCACGTTTGCACAAGGGTCAGACCCTTGTCCATGGAACAGTTGGGTGATATTAACAGAATATTCTGGGTGGAAATGCAGTGAGATTGAAAAAGTATAGCCCATTTTGCTTTTTTTTTGTAAACAAAGGTGCTGTTCTTACTACAAACAGACTTTCCTTAAATGAAAACTGCACATGGCATTTTATTAGTAGATAAGGAAACGCATTTCTGATGTGCTAGCACGACATGGTTTCACATTTACATAAACTACTGCCTACTCAGGATTAGAGAAATTGGCTGTTGTGCTGGTTTTAATTGGAATGTGCTGCTGTGCTCAGAATCTTAAGAGGAGACCAGCCATTACTGCCCTCAGAGTTGTCTCTCTGCATTCTGGGAATGTGAACATTGTTTTTAAATTCCAAAAACGACTCCCAATCCGTCACAAATCAATATCTAAATATGCCTCGGCAGTAGTTAATCCCACTTAACCGCCTATATTGGTATCCTATTAAATAAAACTAACCTCGAATAAAAAGATCTGACAGAAACATTACATTTTGACAGGTCAGAAAACTGTTGTGCCGTGATGCTTGCGGGCTTCTCTAAATATTTTAATTCCCTGGACCTCACAGAGCATGGGTTGAGTGTTAAAACAGAAATTGCCTGTTGACTCTCAATGACTTGTTACTGCATCACCATTGATTAGTATGTACACTGTGTATTTTTGCACAACACCATTCTAAATAGCACATAGCAAGAGGGAAATGTGCTGACTAACATTTGTGTGTTTACAAGCTGTTGCTCCCCTTACGTGCCCCTTTAGGGTAGGTCAGATCAACATGAGAGACCCAACAGTTTTTTTCAGAGATTATGTCATGATGAGAAGGGCAAGTTCCTCACATCCAGTGCTGTTCTGTTAAATCACAGAATTATCGCCTCATCACTGCCACTAGATGCCCAGATTTAATTCAGTGTTCACCACAGTATATGAAATCAATGAAATCGTAGTGTCCAGATCATGAAGAAAACATAGCCAGAAGTGATATATATTTTATATTTGTTTTGCCTGAACTGTATGAATGTGTGCATGTGTGTGTCCTGTGATGTGCTGACTTCCTCTCCAGGGGGTCTCCCAGCCCCAGTGCCCATTGCTTCCCAGAATAGGCTCCA